AGGATATAGGATAGCTGAAGTGTTCCTTTGGAAAGTCTAAAACTGTGTAACATAACATCAAGTAAAAAACAAACAAGCAGAAAAACACCATAATAACACGTAAAAAGGTTTTTGTATAATCACCGAGAAGACAGATGGTGTCAGGTTTAATTGCTTGTGACTGTATGTCAAACTCTTAGTCCCCCTGACATGTCAATTTTGTATCTCAAAGTTTGTTGATTTATAAAGGCTTGAGTGTGCTGCCAGAGAAATGATAACTATTTTCAGTGGTCAGTTACTGTTTAAGGCATGGAGCCAATGTGCAACACTAAATGTCAACAAGACAAAACCAGGAAACTCTTATTGACCTGTTGTTGGCCTCTGAGCTCACACGTATTGTCCAAAACTTGAGTTTTCAGATGGCTGACCAATCCATCCAATTTGACACTGAATGTATTTATGAGCATTATATCAGAATTGTTTTTAAAAAAAACTACAATTGGCTTTGCCCAGTAAACATCAACACAAGGTATCTTGAGAATTACTAAAATGAGCTTCATACCTTTGATTCTTCTTCTCATCTTTATTTCTTTATACAGAATTATAATTAAAATCATTTTTCCATTGCCGAATAGAAATTAAAATCAAATTTCCTTCTGAAACTTGTAAACTAACTAATCAATGCAATAAGTAATTAGATTATAACATTATATGAACACTATCTACTGACTATACTGTACTGAATATAGCTTTATTAATTCATTAGGAATCTGTGAATAGGAAAATGATGGCGCTCTACTGAGTTCAGCATTTATGGTTAAATCCTCCAGGTGGAGACAAGACACAGCTACACAGGTGTCAAATAAGTTAAACACGTACCTCCATTTGGTGGCGCTAGATACCAAAACGTGAATGAAACCCTACACAGCTGAGAGTAGAAGAAGATCCACACACACGACTTTGAGGTTTAGCAGCAGCGGCTGTCCTGACCTTCCCTCTGCAGCGTGACACACTGAAAGGTAAGAGCACAGTTCACACTTACTGAGCAAAGTCTCTGTAATAATAACAGACAAACGGTGTGTGGCTTCACGACAGCAGTTTAAAAAGGAGCTAACATCTCTATTTACTATGGTTGTGTGCGCCTACTTCTGCAGGCGTACTCGGCTAGTCAGCCAGTTAGCTTCTTGCTAAGGCTAGTTAGCTTTATTTCTGGTTTCACAGCGGAGAATAATGCTAATACGCTACTCAGGAGTCATTTATTGACTGCAGTAGTTAGCTAGTAGAGTTAAATATAGATATCAGCAATAGGTCTGCTTGTAAATGTTCTTCTCCGTCTTTTAACCGACTTGTATTACGTTTAGTGCTAACGCTGACTTTGGTGCTAGCGTTATAGACTGAGGTTGTGATGTTAGCAGTGATATTAGCCAACGGCGTTATCTTCAGTAAAGAGAAACTATTGGACGTATAAACGAGAGTACGACGTCTCCCCCACGAACAGTACGCATTGGGGAAGTTAAAGGGTGCAGTTTTACTCTTCCTTTGAGCAGAACTCACAGTTTACTTGTCCAAAGTCATTAGCCAGGGCTGACAGCTGAGGGTCACAGTAGCCTTTCGAGTACAGCAACCAAATGAACGATATGTTGCTGAATGAAGGAACCTGTTAATCAAACCTAGCTCCAGTCAACATTAGTGTTTTTAAATAGATTTTTAAAAAAGTTGACTGCCAATGATCCAAACTGATGTGTTAGGTAAGAGCAACACATGAGCAAACAGGTCAGATTATGAATGAAGTGTGCTCTTCCTCCGTATAGACAATGGGATTGGACTTGTGATGTTCCAGTCGTGCCTCTACTGACATACTGACAGTTGAGATTGTGTCATTGCACTGTTGTGAGACTATGCTGTTGCTTTCTCCCACAGATGGCTGGGCGTGCGTTTGCAAGTTGGTGGTCCAAGGTGGGCCCTTACTACACTAAGGCATACCCGGAGATGTGGGTTGGTCTTGGCATCATGACATACCTGTACTACAGAATTTCCTACGGCGGTGAGTTCAAGACTTATACTGTCATATAAGAATGCTGAAGTTTTGAACAGGTGTGAAATAAATGTCATAGTGCTGAGTAAATGTGAATGGAAGCGGCTGTACTTATTAAGAGGTGTTTTAAATGCACAGCGGTACACTCAGTGGTACGGGTTAATGTGACTAATATAATGTGTGTTTCTTCATATTCCAGGCAAGAAGGCTGTGAAGGACAGTAAGTAATCTAACATTTTCTTTGTTCTTACTGTATAATTAGGTTTGGGCAGTGATGACTGTTTATATAACTGGTTGAAATTCCTAATGACCCCTGATCTCTTGGTGTATTGGCCATTGAGGGGAATGTTGCAATTCAATAAAGAGGACTGTTTATGGCAGTATTTAATTAAAAAAAAACATTGCAGCATTGAACATGAGCTATGCTGCTGGAAAAAAAGTTGTCAAATGTTGTGTAACTACATATGTTTTCCTCTAGATGTCACTGACAGATGGCTTATCCAGTCATTGCTGACTGACATTTTAGTGATTTGCAACTGTCTGCCCATGTTAATTTAATTAATCTGTCATTAAATGTGTCTTTTGTGGTCTTCCCTTTTTTGCAGAGCCTGCCCATTGAGTATTCCACCATGTTGACCATCCCATGTGAAATAATTCCCCAGTCCTTAGTCCAGAAGTCCAGCTTCATATAAGATTTTTTGTTAATATGGAATGAATAAAGTCGCTATCCTAAACTTTCATCATTTCATTGTTGGCTTTTGTTACTTTTGTATGGCTGTGGCTATAAAGTACTGCCACATGAGGTTTTGTTATGCAGTGGTGAAAAGCTAATAAATGTTGTAATCAAAAGAAAGGTATGAGAATTAACATTAGGCCCTACTGTGTGAGCAAATAAAGGTGTCTCCACAGAAAATGTATGTTACTTAAAGAATGTTTTTTGTATTTCCACATGAGCAATACATTTTTGATACTTCCTTGACAGGGATGCTTACTTGTGTAGAATTAAGACTCGCACTACTTTTGACACCCTTAATATTAACAGATAATAGTTCACATTTGGAACTATTTAGCAGGCATAATTAGCTGTGTTGATTTAAAACAACACTAAGAGTGATCAAGGAACTAATGCATCCTTATTTTGTGTCTCGGTCAATGGTATATGAAGAGTTTAAGGTAGATCTCCAATATCCAAAAACTATAAATGCAGTCTATAATCAGTTATTAAAGCTCCTTGGTTTGTTCAGCCCAGATTATGTGGTCCTTATGATGTTTTTATCATCTTATTTCAGTGTTTGCCATATCCAGTTGTGGAAAATGAGTGAGCTATTAATAGCCAATGAATCATAGTTTGGGTTTACATTTTAACTAATTGAACAGACAGAATAAACCACAGCACTGCCATATTTGGTGTTGTGTGGGTGTGGGTGTGGGTGTGGTCAGCCATTCTGGGAAGCCAGACATCACAAATTTCACCAAAATATTTGTGATGAGACAAACCCATGTGATAATGATAACCTGTATTTGAACAGTCGACCCTGTTACTTTTACAGATATTATGAGTGGTACTCTGATTTACAATGATAGAGATGGATTTAACATCCGTTATATAATTGTTTTCAACTGACCACTCTGAGTTATGGCACAAAGGACTGTCGCATCACAACTGGTTTGTTGGCAAAAATCGATGGCAAATGAATCAGTTTCTGTTTACAGTTTGGATCAGTGAACTGAGAGTGTTGACCAGAGTCCTGCCTGGGGCCAGAAGTTTAGTGCTGGATGGAGAGGTGGATAAACCGATTCCACTCCTGCAACATCACTGCTAACTATGGCTACGTTCACACTGCACGCCTCAATTCTGATTTACTCAGATCTGATTTTTGTTTTGTTTAGCTGTTCACATTACTTTAAAAATGCAGCCTGTATCAGATTCCAGTGTGAACAGGTCATGAAGTGACATCCATGACAAAATGTCAGTCTAGAGTGACATAAAAAAAATCACACAAATTCATTGCTAAAACATCTAATTTGGACCATATATGAAACATTTAGAATTGAAAATATGACATTCAATGTGAGTTGTAATGTTCACACAGTGAAAAAACAGATGTGAGTCACATATGAGCAAAAAAATAATCTGATATGGGCAACTTGTGCCTGCAGTGTAAACATAGCCTGTGCATGCTAATGATTTGACTGATACGTGAGTGTCAGTAATCAATATATAACTGTACAAGGTACAAGAAGATGGTATTACCTCTCATATAAAATAAATATGCCTACTCCTTCCCTCCTCCCTACTTCCAAAACTAGACATGATATAACAACTGCTTATTGATGACGTCATGCAGTAGTCCTTTGTAGAGTTGCTCTCTTGGGACTGAGGAGAATTGCTTGCCTTTGACGGGAGAGATGAGGTACTTGTCTGCGTTTAGGCGTTCATAAATGTGTTCCATAATGCCCCGTCATTAAATAAATGTCTGGTCTGGGGGAGCATTCATGGTTGTTCCTAGTACCACAGTTGTCATGCCATGGATGCCTAAATGTGCAAAGTATAGTATAGCTTAGAAAATGTTCTGGCTCAGCAAAAATGTGCTTAAATTATGACAAGTAAAACTACTCATTATGCAGAAAATGTCCCCCCTTAAGTATTGCATGTGAGTACTGATGGTCTGATAAAGTATATTTTTGTTAATACATTAAGCTGTAAGTAGCATTTTTATGGAGCTGGCTATTTTAAGAACTGCATACTGTACAGTACTGCTGCCAGTGGTTCCTAACCTTTCTAGCTTATGTCCCCTGAAAATGTAGCAATGTCTGCTTACAACCCTCATCGCGTTTCATATGTCAGAGTTATGAGTAGCTCCACCAAATAGTATTTTTTTTAATTCTCAGATTGTTGCATTTGAATAATTGAATAATTAAGAGGCCAGAGGAGGTGAAAGGATCTGGTTTTTCATCAGCAACAAGCCAAGATTAAAGAAAAGCAGCAGAACTTTGTGCCTTCTTTCCTGTCCTGTACACTGTCTTGTGTAAAATTTGAATCTGCAAAGTGAAGGGTAACTATAGCTGTGAAATAAATGTATTGCAGTACACATTCATTGTCTTTTAAATATAGTGAATTTGAGGTATATAGTAGCATAAACTAGAAACACTTATACTGTACGTACCTTCATACAATCTGTAAGCTGCTGTGCTCATGAACATTTTGGGGGTCTTGAAATGGGCCCCGACAGCAAGCTAGAAAGGGAATGAGAAAATCCTGCCCAGAAAGTCCTTGCATCTACCCACCCAGTCAGGTGTGTGGGTGGTTACACACCTCAGATTAACCTCTGTGGACAAAGTGGTGCAATCATTGTTTGGG